GAAGTTGTCAGCAGTCATCTCTGACAATTGGACCGAATATTCTTGCTGTAACACTCTCGTTTGTATATGTTTGTATTGCTCTTTCTGTTAATACATTTAACTCAATTCCCCTCTTTGTGTCTTTATTTCTGGCCCTAACAAGGCCACAACAATTAGTCCTTCGCATAATCAGAAATCATTAGATTGAAGATTAATAGTTATGGAGATTGTTTATCGGATAAAGAAAATCAACACACAAGACTTTTGCCAGTTACATTTAGGCTTGATAACGTAGAATTTGAATACATTCTCAGCCGCCCAAAAAATACGCTAACGAAATGGGATTAAATGGTTTTCTTTAATCATTTCCCCCCTTAAAATAGGGCAATAAAACCAAGAGTGTTACTGATTATGAACGAATCTGAGAAAAAATAAACATTATTAAAGAGAGAGGACAATAAAGAAACAGAATAGAAACAGATAGAACATGACCATTGATTTAGATTTTTGAATACCGAACTTGATTGGAAAGCAAGAGGCCGGAGGAGAGCTCCACAAGCGAGAAGTCCAAGTGAAGAAACTGTTAGCATAGAACTTACGGCTACATCTAGCAATTTCAACTGTAAAATGACGAGACCTTGCCGCCAGTCTAGTACTGCGCTTAAATTCATAGAGTCTCGGTATCATAACGGAACGTTCATCAGAACAATTACCATGAAAGTATTTATAGGAAAGGCATTTAAATTAATAAAGCCTAAATTACCATGAAAATATTTATTGAAAAGGTACAGGTAAGCTATGTTACGCTGATGGGGAAGGAACTGAAATCAAGATGACAGGTCAGGACAAATATCATTGCAGATTCTTCTTTGGATTTTATCAAGAATCTCTAAATATATAGCAGGAGCACCAGACCATATGTGGTAGCAATCTTCAAAGGATAGATGAATGAGAGACTTATAAATATGTATAGATTCAGGAGGGAAAATTGTCTAGTACGATATAGTAAACCAGCTTTCTTAGCTGCAGACTTAGAAATTGATTCAATATTCTCTTTCCATTTCATGTCAGCTGAAAACTTTAGCACAAGAAGGCGCAATGAGCCATTCTCGTGGTGGTTAGCATCAGCCATGCTGATGTAAGGTAAAAAGGCTTATCGCAGATGATTAAAAGAGAGAAGTTTCGTTTTCCAGATGCTAAAATTAACAAGCCACTCCTTGCCCCCTTTAACGATTGATAGTAGTATTTTTTAGATCAGCTGCCAATTTGGCCTTATCGAACCGCTCAGGTTTACTGTTAAAACAGGAGTAAATAGTTGTGTCATAAGCATAGGTACTGACTTGAGAACTGATGACATCATTAAGATCACTTATGAAATTAGGAACAACATAGGTTCAAGGATAGAGCTCTGGGAGACATTTGGATTTATGAAAAAAGCTATAGAAGAGCAGCCATTCAAGACAACTGGCATTTTGCGATTCGATAAGAAAGACAGAATCAGTTTAAAAATTCGTCCAGAAATAGTATAAGCTTTCAGCTTGTGAAGAAGACCATCTTCATTATCTATCTTTTGGAAAAGAAAAGAGGTCTGGTTGACTTTATTCGGCCTCAAAATATCGTAGTTGGTTGCGCTTACTTACGAGTTTCCACCAATCGCTGTCTTTCTTACGCAAATAAAAGAACGCTACTTCGGACGACAGAAGAGAGCTTTCATGCTCTTCGTGGCTGTAGAACTTAATTGTGCGTTGACGATACTGATTTCTGGCTCCCACTTTTGATTTAGACTCTGTTATATGAACAACCTTTTATTGTACCTTGGTGACATATTCACGGTTTACGGTCAAGTCGGACTAAAAGCATTGATTCTTTTCTGATCAACGAAATTAAGGATTTTATTAAAACTTAGCTGAGTGACCACTTGGAGCGCTAATTTATACTCTTAGGTGCTTCAATACTTTATAACCAGGGGGTGGGGGATCTATTTTCAATATGTAATAAAATTTTGGTCTTAACAAAAGGGAATCTGAAAATCATTTACAGAATAAAAAAATGGTGAAATTAATAAACTGGGCAATTTTAATAAGCTCTATGGATCGGAAAATTTCCCCAATTTTCCACCCCTCCATTAGTAGAAATTTTGGACTTCTGCCGATTTTAGCAGCGCTTAGTAAAATAAGCCCGACATAACTCAGTTATTTTTCTTAATTTCTCCCATTTTTTTTAGATATCTCCGCCAACTATTACGATTGGTCTTTTAGAAACATTGATAAATACGCTCTGACATTCGGGTCCTATCAGGCATTTTGATTTAAAGCCATCCCCCTCTGAAAAAATGGGGGCAACTATATAGAAACTTTTTATTTGATGGAGCGGAATAACAGATTTTTCACACGCTTCTGCGTCTTTGGCCTCCAGTTAAATGTCTGTACAACAAAGAATTATAGTCATCGAGTAAAACTGACACTCACATATACGCATGCGCAAATACGCATTCTTGTCTTTGCTAACATAAATTCACAGAATAGTTACACGTATAGATGCGTATTAATTGCTGGCTTTTGGTTAAATGTAAGAAAAAGAATGAAAATAAAGTTGAATATAGACGTTATGATATTTACACACGTGTTTATCCAGTAAAATAACTGAAGACTTGTCTATAAATTTGTATTCGATATATACAAGTGAATTCGATGCAGAAACACACAGACTATCGTCCATCCCTGTTTCTCAACATTCTCTCCTTCCTCACCGAACACACACACACACACACACACACACACACACACACACACACACACACACACACACACACACACACGGGCTCGCGCACACACATATATATATATGTACGAAAAGGTCGTCATTTTCTTTAAATATATATACATATATATATTTATGCGGTCATAGGAATCAACACTGCATGGTGATTGCTCTTGTTCTGAAGATTGAACTAAGGTGTGACGCTGACAGTCACTATGCAGTTCCGATTCCTATGTCCGCGCTGTCTATCTCTATAAACGATATTCAGCCCTCTTAACAAATGTTGGCCATACTACTACATGCCTATGTATACGACTTACATTACACCTGCCCGAGCATGGCTCCATTAAGATTCATTTAAACACACACAGAAACCTACCAAACTCCATCTGAATCATACTAGTAGAAAATACAAGTATAGAAGCCTCATTCACATTTATAACTGACTAAAAATAATGTAAGCCCTAATAATTAAAAAGGAAAAGTCAATACTCAATAACATTAACTATGAACACGGCCACAATGTGCTGACCGTGTTCAGAAAATAAAACATTCCTATAACTTTAAACATATACCTAAAAAAAAAACAAAAAAAAACAAAAAAACAGCACGTTTAGTTAAAAAATAAAAATTGCCCTTGGTAATGGCTAAAATAATAGACGAAAGCTCTCGGCTATGCAGAACTTTTGGACTGTTTTTACATACTTTGTGTCCAGTAACGAAAACACTTAAAAACCAAAAGAAAAAATAAATAAAAAGCATAATCTCAGTAACTTGTCAGTCAGAATGTAACGAAACATATATATATATATATATATATATATATATATATATATATATATATATATATATATATATATAGTATTAATTATAGCTTTCTATCTACGACCTATTAATACCCACCGTCTCATTTTATGGATGGTGGTTATTATTCTATAGAAACCTATAATTAATACCAGAATTTTTAAGAAGGCTAGAACTAACATAATAGCTTTGAATTTTTCTAAATGTTAGACATTAATGGGTTAATCGTTCTATGGCTTTTGTAGGAATGACCGTTCTTCTCAGCATGCGATGTTCAACAGTTTGAATTATTTATTTGTACAGTTTTATTATAGGATAAAAATGTAACTGAAAAATGAAAATGTTAATGATAATTCAATAAATCTTGTAAGGGAACAGATAATACCGCTGATTTAAAAGAATGTTGGATTTAAAAAGAAAATTAAAGGGTAATGCTAGGAAAGTGAAGTGTTACAAATTATTTTTTGTCTATAATTTTTGCGTCGTAGGAGCTTTTCAAATTCTTTTACAGAGTATAAGCTCTAGTCGGTATATATTCCGAAGAAAAACATAAACTAAAAGAAATAATTGCTTCTATGTTATTTCTGTGTACCCATAATCCCTGTGAAATCTTCTTCCGGTAATTTCATACAAAACGAGGATATAAAATAGTTCTAAAGGAAGAAATGTTAGTAGCAACCGCAGTCATCAGGTGCTACTACTGGACAGAGAATAGAGTAAACGATTAAAAAAGCGTTGTTAATGGTGACAATATTAACTGTGGTAATAGTAATATAAGCTGTTCCCCTACAAAGAAACATTCGACATTCATTGACCAAGTAGCCATTACTATTTTCGATTGAAATTTATAAAACATTTAAATTTAAACCGTTTTTTTTTTTTAGGAAAACAGTTTTTTCAAGTCAAGTAACTGTTATCGCTCTTTCCAGTATTGATGTGAGTTTCTTTCTTAACCTTCTATTTGAAGTGTTACGGGATGTTAACATCTTGATTATGTCATTATTTATACCTCGAGTTACACGTGGTATCGATTTTAGTTGCTGTTGCTTTTAAACACTCAAGTAGTTTTTGTTATTTGATACATTTCTTTGCTTGTGATTATGTAGCGCCATTCTACAATGTTCAAAGAAGGATGATCTTTGCCAAGACTCTCAGGCTTTACTCGCTCAATGCCTTTTCCGTCGAATGTCTATTATACAGTGAGCAACTACCATGATGTATTTAGGGGAAAGGTTTCGGTTGATTAAGCTAAACGTAATCAGTCATCTGTAGATAATAGCTGAGCAAATAAAGATTAATTTAGAACTCGTTACTGAATTCAAAGCTGGAATTAATTTCAACTGTTTTTTGTCTAGTTTTTCTTCAGTCTAAACTTAAGAAAACAAATTTATTCGAGCATATGAATTTGAAAAATAGTTGAAAACTCGTATTCAAGTGTTTTCTGGGAATGCGCAAATATGAACGAGGACTCTTTTCCCCGGGCTGATATGACGGAGGTAAAAGTAACAGAAATTGCATACTGAAAGTAATTATTATACCAGTCTGAATTTGATTTGTTTTTATTTGTTTTCTTAATAATTTCACACCAAGAAAGGCAATGAAACCACTAAGACGCAAGGGTGTTGCTCAGCGTTAGGGAATATGAGACAAAAACACTATCGAGGAGAAAGAATAATAAAAAAACAAGAATTAAGAAGACAGAAGATACTTTTTGAAGATCAAAGTTGAAGGGCAATCAAGAAACCGGAAGAAAGTCCTACAAGTGAGAAGTGCGAGAAAAAAGTATTAACATAGAATTTATGCAGTAAAATGATGAGATCTGGCCGACAATCTATTACTGCGCTTAAATTCAATAAGTCTAGATACTGTAAAGTTCGTCAGAACAATTACTATGAAAGTATTTATAGGAAAGGGACTGAAGCCAAGATGCCAGGTTCAGACGAATAACAGTGCAAATTCTTACTTGGATTTTATCAATAACTTTTAAATATATAACTGGACTATCAGACCACATGTGACAGCAATATCCAAAGCAAAGACGAATGGTAAACTTATAAATATGTAAGATAAACCCAGGAGAGAAAAAATGTCTAGCACAACACAGTGAACCAACTTTCCTAGCGGCAGATCTAACAGTTGATTCAATATAATCTTTCCACTTCATGCCAGCAGAAAATGTTAGGCCGAGAAAGCGCAATGAGTTACCATTCTGGAGGTAGCATCAGCCATATTAAAATAGATTTACGTGAACGAGTGCGCTTAACTCCAAGACTACCTTCCTAAAAAAAAAAAAAAACGCCTCCTTGGAATAAAACAATAACAGGCGTACGATATGAGTTCGACATCTGTATTTGGGATTCTCGGAGCTTTACGATTTAAACTTGAGCGAAACGCGTCCTTTTGAATTTTCCGTAAACTGTAAAACGTGTGTATTAAAATCTGTTTTATATCTGTTTCAAAACTCAAACTTTTGGGAGATAATTATTAGATCAAATATCTTCTTCTTCTATGTGCCTATGTTCATTCAAGGCGTTGTCAATCAATTTCCCGTCCTTTGTAGCTCTTAATAACTTTTGCCTTTTTGCCATCTCTCCCAAACTCTGCTCTGCGATCAATTCGCTCAAGCATATGCCAGGTAGGTTGTGCGTGGCTTTTCTCTGTTCTTTTTTCCTTCAATCTCTCTTGTGAGTATCAGATACTCCAACCCCTCTTTCCTCGTTACGTGCTATAGAGACTGTCACTTCTTGATGAAAAAATGCCTTTTTGTTTCCATTGTTTCTAGAACTTCATCGTTGCTCACATGTTCGATCCATGATATTCTCAGCATCCTTCTGTAGAACCAAATTTCTGTTGCTTCAAGTCTCTTTGTGAGGAGATTGTCCAGCATTTGCTGCCATAGAGAAGGACTGATACTACATAACATTTCTTTATAATTTTCTCTGTTTCTAACGATATTCTATTTCTTAATAATTTGCTCAGCTTTTGAAGGGCATTTTTCGCTATCCCCACTTTTCATCATCTGTTAATACGCTTCACAGATATCTAAATTGTTGCATCTGTTGGATTTTGGCATCCCCAATTTGTAATTTGCATGTTGGGATGTTCCTTTTTGCTAACATAAACTATGTCCGGCAGTAAGTCCACTAATCGGGATTTTGAGGAAACTGGAATCACCTCTTAATTGCTTTTCTTCCCAGGTGACCCCTGATCCTGGAAAATAGTGAAACCTCAAACAAAAGTAAAGCACTATGAAAGTATAAAAATATATTTTTATGGTAAAAATACCAGCAATACATTTTTATATAAAAAATGATCAACTGTAGATATTTATTTATTTATTTTAAATTTATTTTTTTAAATAACCAACAACAATTATTTATAATAAAATAACTAACAATAGATTCTTAAAGCAAAATGACCAGCTATGCATTTTATCTGTAGTTGAAGGTATACAGTTGCGATCAAAATACATTCTGTTGAAGCCATAAAATTGTCTTCAAATTATTTAGATTTCGGCATTAAATAACCCATAGGCGTTGATATGCCGCTAAACAAAATCAACCAACAAACCAAATAACCAATATAAAAAAAAATTTTTTATGACATTAATCCATATAATATCCTACAAATTCTTAAAGAAATCAAACTGCATTCAAAAAAATAACTTCAATAAAACTACAACATAAAACACACGTATCGCCGCCTCTAGTAATTATGTCCCCACAAACATGTATATGCACAAAAGCTGAGTATCATCTACCATGTATTCAAATGTGAAAGGAGATAACATATATTTTCATTACTTCAAAGTTCCCAAGAAAATTAAATTTCAGCATTAATGGCTCATAAGGAGTTGATATGCCGTTAATCAAACCAACCAATCAAAATAAACCTTTTGTTAACAACCATGCATTCAGTCTACTTGCAATTTATATTTAACGTTGTGGCTTTCTTGTGTCAAAGTTTCTATTTAAAGCATTTTAAGAATAAAGAAATTACTGATGCAGGAGAAAGAGCAAATGTAAAATGCGTGGAGGTGGCTTTAATCTATTCACAATAAGTTTGACATTTTGGGATAAAAGTGTGTCTATTTCTTTTGATATTTGTTTGCTATGAATGCTCCTATTTTTTTGTGCAGTCTCGCGTGATTTTAGATCATAGAATAACGTACATGTTTATGCTACTCACATTTTCTGCATTGACATTGGAATAGTCTGCAAGGGGTCATAAGTTAAACATCTCAAACCTTTGTAGCCATCGTGACCATTTTGAACAGTTATGTATTTTTAAAAGCCACAGGACATTTAGAAATCTCTCAGCCCTCATTTAAGAGATTACGATATACTCTTGTATGTCCAGTGAACAACGATCCCATGTAGCGTTTGAGCACATTCGGACAGCTAGTAGAAAGGTTGATGTCAGCTGGGGAGTTGGGTATCACAATATGGTCATTCAGCATGATGTTCAATCACCACCACCTTCTTCTTCTTCTTCTTCTTCTTCTTCTTCTTCTTCTTCTTCTTCTTCTTGCCATAGCTCTTCATGATGTTGATTATCATGGCTCTTCACAGTTTCCTGTCCTTTTCATTTGTAATACCAATCGAAATAGAACCAATAGTTTACACTTGATGCAACCGTAAATTAAAGTCGCATAGGCTAAAGGAGGAGATATTCCTTAATAAGACGTTATCTTTCGTGTATTTCAGTTTAAGTTAAGATATGAATCTTTTCTGGACTTTTCATTTCTTTCTGTTTAAATTTCTGGAATAAGGAGTTATAATTATTAAAGCTATTTTCAGTCACATCACTGCCCTCGTATTTGTTGTTTTTATCATAACGTTTCGACTGTAACCCTTCGGCCTTCTTCCAGTTTCTGTCACTCCAAGGGAATTTCAAAATGAACGTTATATTTGATTTCTTCTGCTGCCCAATGCCGACTGATATCTTGTCTTGTTCATTTCTGATGCTGTTCATTTATTACTAGTCTTATTTTCACTGAATCTGAGTCTGTACTACGCATCTCAGGGATTGAACTCGCATTGCTATGTCACCAAATTCACAATGCAACGCTTTAACCCACTTGACTATTGTGGAACAATTCTGAATCTAGAGGATTAAACTTAATGCTCTTCTTGTATACCTGATGATGTCTCTGTTTCAGCTGCCTTGATGTCACACTTGACCGCCTTCGCTTGACGCTTCTCTTTCTTACTGATACGTTTAATGTTAAAATTGTCTCTCTCCAGCGTTGTTTTTCTTCTTTTCTTTATTATTTCCTTTCCATTATTTTCTCTGTTTATTTTTACATTTAAACTTTATTCTGCGCTTAATGCGTTTACATAATGTACTTAAAAAAGAAAAAGAAATCAAACGAATGAAGAATTTCACTCACGGCGCGTCTTCTTGGCCCAATGTCTCCTCACGGGCGGCCAAACCTTGCTGAAAGATTGGTGATTTTATCGAGTCACCATGTCTAGAATAGTTGCCAGCGGAAGCTGTATAAACTAGTCTGTCCTGCTATTTAACCCATAGCTGGGAAGAGAAAAGTGAATGTAAAGAAATGTTGTAGTAACCCACCTACATTAGAATGAATTCATCCTCCTTTCATAAATACTAACTTTATGTGCGAGCAACGGAAATGCAGTGTAATCTGATCGTTCGGACGGACGCTTCTATCTGCTTATTACAAACACTGTTGCTTTGTATATGTTCTGTTATTTCAATACACTTGTTCAATCTAACATCATCTTCCGTGTCTTTCTTTTCTGGCCTATAAACAGGCCACAGCAAGAACTCGACTGGAATTCGAACTCAGCTCTTCTATTTCTCATTCCGAACAGCATCCATTACACCACACGCACATCCAGTCCCTGTCTGCCATTAATTCGGCTTTCAAGTAAATCTGTTTATACTTTTGGGGTTCCTCGATTGAGTTTCGATGTTTTTTTTTAACGATTTATTGAATTTCCAACTAATGAATAAACATACTTTTTATATAATTAAATGTTCATAGATGCGTAATAACTAAATATGCATAGAAAACAGAAAAATGATTTAATAGAAATAGATCCCATTCATCCATTCTGTACAATGCAAATTTCAGCTTTTAAAACTTTTATATTGTTTTAATGCTCTAGATTATTCAAATGGAATCTTTTAGTATGCTTCAATAATGTTATCAGTAGTTACTTTTAGCCTAAAAATACAAGCAGAACATTCTGTAATTGCTATTCGTGCAAGAAATGGCTTGCTGAAAATAATGTAAATACCCTGAAATGGCCAAGTCAGTATCATGATTTAAGCCCAATCGAGAATCTGTAGCGTTATTTGAAAATTCAAATCTAATCGAGAGTTCCAACAAACATCCATGATCTGAAGACCATTTGCGAAGAAGAATGGAACAAAATACCAACTAAAATTTTCAAATCATTAATTGGGGATTACAAGACGAAGTTGGTTGCTGTAGAAGTGAATAATGGCTCTTCTACAAAGTATTAAATGAAGATTATGTATTCGTTATTGTATTGTACAAATACTTTTTCACCCATTAAAATGGATATATGTTATTTAATTCTATTAAGTCAATTTTTTTCTGTTTTCTTTGTATATTTAGTTATTATGCCTCTGCGAACATTTAATTATATGAAAAGTATGTTTATTCATTAGTTAGAAATACAATAAATTAAAAAGTTGTATGTGTACGAATATTTGTTTCCCCGACTGTAGGCCCACGACGAAAGAAAAATATTTATTTGTCATAACGAATATTTATTTTTCAGTATTGTTTTATTCCGTGGTAGTGCCTTTCATTCAACACAGAATATTAAGCACACAGACAAAACATTATACAATGAAAATTCAAAGTGAATATTTAGTTGCTTAACTGTGCTAGGGTACTGACTTATTGATACACCTTCGTAAATTAACGGAAAAAATCCTGGTGGAATGATTTGAACACAAAGAACTATTGATAATTTCTTTCCTTCTACACAGACAGGTGGTACATAACACGAAAAAAGAGGGGGGGACTATTTATTTTTGTTATCGATCCAGCATCAAAACTGGGGAAATCATAAATAATTTTAACCAGATAATTTGGGATTTAAACGGTGAAGGTAATTTCCAGACAGACGATTTATTAATTTCTCTCCTTATATTATTTTATACTTCTTTTCCTTCGACAGCTGTCTCTCTCTCTCTTTTCCCCCTCTCTCACCCTTTCTTTCTCCCTCTTTGTTTGTTTGTTTCTTTCTTTCTTATCTATTTTAATAGCTTTCTTTTTCTTTCTTGATTCGACCAAGTCGTTATCTATTGTTCTACATATCTATCTCAATCTCGCGTTGTTCATCTATCTATCTATCTATCTATCTATCTATCTATCTATCTATCTATCTATCTATCTATCTCTCTCTCTCTCTCTCTCTATATATATATATATATATATATATATATATATATATATATATATATATAGTGGTTAGCAACTCGTATACAGAGGCGACCACATAATCCTCGTTGCAGACGTCTGCTCAGGCACAATTGAGTTTGTTCAACACCCCAGAGCTGCAACTATGCTGAGCGGAACTTGGTTACAGTTTCTGAGAGAGAGCGCGTTATCTGGCGTGATCAACAATCTGAACAAGGCCAGCACACTCAAACCCTCGATCACGGTGACTTGTGACTTCGTGCTAGCACAACCACGGATGGCTCCCCAACGATTCCGTCTACTCGTCACTCACAAGGCTTGGATCAACCTGTGGTATGGTTTCCAAGAATTTTCCAAAGTCTGTTCATATATATTCCGTTAAAGTTTTTGAATATATATTTCATTTGTCTATCTATCTATGCCATTCTGTTCATACCTATGTGCTTATCTCTTTTCATCATATTCATGCCGGTCTCCAGCTGTTCGTATTTATTTTCCGTTTCGTTATCCATTTATCTATTATTAGTCTGATGTATCTATCTATCTATCTATCTATCTATCTATCTATCTATCTATCTATCTATCTCTTTTGTTTTTATTTTATTTTCAGCGTCTTCTTTTTTCATTTTTCTCTTCATTGCTTCTATTTTTATTCACTTTTCCTCATTACATTCCAAACTCTCTCTCTCTTTCATTTATTAATCCTCTCCTTTCTGTCCATTCCTGTCTGCGCCACGCCGTACACATTTTTATCGTTGATTTCTCACGACAATGAGAGTCCTATTTACATGTCGAGGATGCACACACCAGAACCAAAATACGTTGAACAGGCTGCAATTGAAACATTTTAACGATATTTTTTTAGGCTGACTGCGTTAGCAATAGCGCTCAACCAAAACGGTTGAGGTCGACGACTCTCCGCCATGATGAAATAGTCTTTCACTCACCCATCTTAACCCTTCATCAATACACGTAGGTGTTTTCTAATGAAATGTTATTCGAATAGTTAGTTACTCATTCGGATTTAAAGATAGGTTTTATGTTGTGGGCAGACTGTCAGTAACGACGGGCTCTTTACTTCGAACTATGAAGATTAATGATTATATTTTTGAATTCTTTTCTCGAATTTCCAGCTTCTTTGGTGTGGAAGCCATTTTATACGTACGCTTGTGCGATGAGGTATAAACTGCGCATGCTCACATATTTCTACACATTTTTTATGCTTATAATGTTTGATTAGATTTGTATGCTCCCCGTTAACTCGAATTTTGTTTAAGGCTGCTTGAGAAAGGCATGAAGCCACTTAATGTTAAAAAATAATGCCCACCAAATACAAAGCTTAAGTACTAATCAAGGTATAAGGTCACTGAATGAAGGGTTCCTAAGAGCATAAGAGGGGGGAAGTAAGTGCAGATCATGAAGATATGTAGGATAGAAAACTATTGGTCCCAGATTTGAAGAGGTTAAGTTTGTTGTAATCGGGAGTCTGTTCCACAACGTGGCGGTTTCTGTAGATCCTTGGTCAAACTGAAAGAAATTGAAAAACTGTAAGAAGATATTCTAAGAGAAGTAAAAAAAGGTAAAAGTTAACACCTGTGATCATGATTGCTTTTATGTTTGGAACATTCCCAGTGTGCAATGAAAAAAGGTAAGGAAGAAAAAAAAGCAAAACCAGCATAAAAATAGTATTTCTGGGACTTACTAGAATAATAAGGAGGGTGCTGGCATATAGAAGAAACCTGTTGTCACTTGATATTCACTGGAAGCCACTACAACGGATCGAAAACCCGATGAGTATGTTAAGAGAATCTTTTTTTTACGAATGAAACTTCTTCGAGTTCTAGATTATTTAAATCAAATACTTCAATGAACTCTTTGATGTGGTCAGATGACCTTTTAAACTGAAGGTCTTCATCTAAGTATTTGTATTCGTTGGTTGGCGCCGAAATTAAGCGAGTTGGCTGGCGGTATCAGTTGCTGTAGAAATCTGTTTCAAAGCAGTCCGTTTACTTCTATGTAAACTATCCCGCAAACAACCAGCAACTTCCGACTGAATTTATTTTAAAGTATTTCTAACTTCTTGCCAGTAAGCCTTTACATTTTTTCCTTTTAGCCACTGGCCATATTCGCTAAAAATATTTTTTTTTTGTTTGCTTAGTTGATTTTCTGCCATTCCCTTTACTTCTCTTTAGTTTCTTCCTTGTTGCACATGTAAAAGATGTGTACTTCAGCTAGTACATAAGAAGCAAGTATTATTATTTTATCTCAGAGTAAAGTGTGAAGATAAAAACACACACACATATCTATCTATCTATCTATCTATCTATCTATCTATCTATCTATCTATCTATCTAAATACGTCAGTATTCTAATGATGAAAACACACACAAAAAAAATTTATTTTACGCACAAATGTTCCTTTTTGCTATAATCTCCTTCCTTGTAAATATACTTAAATCTATGGTAAATAGAACATTATTGTGAAATTTGATATCGAAACTTATCAAATAACTAAACGTAGCTATGGATTTACTGATCCAGCTTCGTGTCTAACAGTAAAGTACGATTAAACAAGCGAGGCGCCTTATGGAGAGTGGCTGTATGTGTAAACATGTAATATGTAAAACATTTGCGGATTTAGATTTGTCTTTTTGATTTCCTAGTTGTTTCGAATCGAACATAATTGAAGAAAATGCCAGTTTAAATCCTTTGAGACCGGCTTTAATGTCCAAGTAATCGTACTGGATTACAGTAAATGTGTACTGTTAAGAAAATCTATTTTTATGAAGGAAACTTCCCCGAGTTCTAAGTTATTTAGATAAAAGACTTCAAAGAACTCTTTGATGTGGTTGGATAACCTTACAAAGTGGAAGTTTCTGCATCCGGGTATTCGCATTCGTTACTTGGCGCCCAAATTTAGAGAGTTGGCTGGTGAAGTCAGTTGTTGTAGAAATCTGCGTCACAGCAGTTTGTTTACTACCATTCGCTGACCCGACATATAAACTACACCACAAAAATCGAACAACTCCTGACTGAAGTTATTTAAAAACATTAATAACTTCTTGCCGGTAAGTTTTTATGTTGTTTCCTTTTTTAGCCCTCTGACTATAATCACTAAAATTATAATAAAACCTTTTTGTTGTTGTTTACTGCTAAAACTTCGTTGGTCTTCTTGTTACATTTACTTCCCTTTTTTATTTCTTTTGTTACACACGTTACAAATATAAATACTAATGATAAATGTCCTGATATTACGCTCTGTATAACCGTCATCACGTCTGCTCTTAACTGACAGGATATAATTTGTCTTGCTGAAGTAAGACGGAATACAGTAAATATCTCGTTTAGTACCACATATTTGCATGTCAATTGTCTGGCCATAACCATTTGGCCTTAGGGGTTGGCGCATGTTCATGGGCAGGAGTAGTGTGGGAGCATCATGGCCGCTGCGTAGAGAGTTTTTTTTTTTTTTTTTTTTTTTGTTAAGTTTGAAGGATGATAATCAGATTTAGATATTTTCGAAAAACCCTCAATTGTCAACCATCCGGGTGGACTGGGTTATCCGATCTGAAGAGGATTCTAGCCGCAAGGTTATGCGCTGCTTTTAGCAAAACCCACGACCGTATCGAGTATATTTTTTGTGATGCATATGTCTTGATTGCTCTTATTTGACTGGGTGTCATGGGGGTACATCGGGCTTCGTATATTTCTGTCCCAGCATCCCTGCTGGCGCATTTGCGCTCTCACTCAGTAATAACAAGATTCGTCCGATAGTGACCAGACATGTTCATAAGATATATTTTCTATTTTTCTCATCTTCGGCATAGTTGCTCGTTTCTATGCATCCCCCGCCTGCTCAGGATCATTCGTGTTTCTTCAACATCCACAGATTGTAATACAACTATATTGAGTGGACCTTAGAGTTTAAATATGTCCATATTGTTCACTATGTATCGTGTCCTCTCAGGAGGTAAGCGATCTTGGCTTTCCATAACTTTGTCACTTGCAGTTCTTAATAAACCTTGTCCTGCTGCTGCCTCTCCTAATCCCTGTCCCGCCATCCATTTACTCAAGCTTACCAAGTATGTCATGCTTTGCTTTCCTCTGGTCCTATTACCCTCTAAATTTTCCGTGAGTATCAGATTTTCCACGCCCTCTTTCCTCATTATATGGCCCAGAAAACTCAACTGTCTCTTTCCGAGATGTTATGCGTTGTTTGCCTCTGTCCCTCTTTCCCTCTATCTTTCCCGTGAACATCAGTTTCTCCAAGCCGTCCTTCCCCATTATATGGACCAGAAACCTCAACTCTCACTGCCTGATGTTCAGTATGAGTTTCCTGTTTGTTTCCTTTTTTCTTTAAAACTTCATCGTTATTTACATGTTCAGTCCACGGTATCCTCAATATCCTTCTGTAGAACCAGATTTGTGTTGCTTCAAGTCTCCTCTCCATCTTTGAAGAAATACTTAAATATAGACAGAGAACCAAATGAATATAACGTCTGTGGAAATATAACGATTTGTCTTCTGATCGACTGGATGACAATCAAAACTAACTTTTAGGCTAAAGAAAAACGTCGTTAATGTCGGTAAGAAATTCATGGCTAATGTCACTCAGCCTTTCCTATGAAGGGTTGTCGGTTTTTCTGTTACAGACGCAGAAAACGTTTAATATAACTTATTCGATTCTTCTTCTTCTATGTACCGTCTCCCTTCAGTATATAGGCGAACATGTCTCTCCACAACTTCCTGTCCTTTGTAGGTCTTAATAACGTATGTCTTTTTTCTATCTCTCCGCTCTTCGCTCAAGCTTGCCAGTTAGGTTGTACGTTGTTTTCCTATGTCCCTCTTTCCTTTAATCTGTCCTGTGAGTATCACATTTTCCAAGCCCTCTTTCCTCATTAAATTCCCCAGTAATGTCAACTGCCTCTTCCTGATGCTAAGTATAAGTGTCCTTTTTGTTACCATTGTTTCTAGAACTTCTTCGTCGTTCACATGTTCGGTCCGTGGTATTCTCAGAATCTTTTTGTTATTGCTTCTAAACTACGTTCCGTCACCCTTACTAAGTAAGTTATACGTTGTCTTTCTCTGTCCCTCTTGCCTTCAATCTGTCCTGTAAGTATCATATTTTCCAAGCCTTCTTTCCTCATTGTGTGCCCTAGAAATCTCAACCGCCTCTTCCTGATGTTAAGTGTCAGTTAGTTATGTGCCATGCGTGATACACGCTTTGGCGATCATGTATCTTTCGATACATGACTGACGAGGCAGATTTTTTTCCCGCGGTAGGTTGTCATTTCTTTCTGCAGTAGACCAGTTGCCATCCAAGTCTATAGAACTCAGTCTGTTCTGCTATTTACCCATAGCTGGGGGGGGGAGAAGAAGAGGATTCATAATTTTCCCAAGGATATTAGCACGTAAGTGAATGTAATGGATTCGACTGGAATTTGAACTCAGCTCTCCGATTCCTCAATCCAAGCGGCTATCCATTACTCCACCGCCCTTCCTCGGTGTTAACTGTAAGTTACCTTTTTGGTTCCATTTCCTCTAAACCCCCTTCGTGGCTCATGTGTTCGGTCCATGGTATCCTTAGCAACTTCCTGCAGAACCATATATCTGATGCCTCAAGTCTTGTCTCCATCTTTGAGGACATCGTTCAGCAATCACTGCCATATACAGGAGGACAGATATCACATAGCAGTTTAGTGCTAGTTTCTTTGTTTCTAGCGAAATTTAATTAATTTTTAAAAAAATCAGAGTTGCCCTTCTCTTATGTTGTTTGCCTACCACAGCTTTTGATTTCAGCTTACTCTCATATTTCATTTAAGCGTATTTGTGTGAAAGTGAATGCAAAAATCTCGACCGGAATTCGAACTCGGCTCCCTGATTTCACGCTTCAAACCTCTAACCGTTGCATCACATTCACATCCGGTGAACATAGACAATAATTTAAAAACATTCGCTCCATGGTATCCTCAGCATCCTCTTGTAGAACCATATATCTGCTGCCTCAAGTCTCCTCTTCAAATGTGGGGAGATTGTCCAGCATTCACGGTCATGTAGGAGGACTGATATTATATAAGAATTCAGGGATATTTTCTTTGTTTCTAACGAAGATTTCTCTGTTTCTTAACACATTGCTTAGCTTATTGCATTCTTGGCTATCCCAGTGCGCCTTCGGATGTGTCACACTTATTCGATTACAGAATCCAAAAATTAGGAGGTAGCATTATATATAAATATAAAATCTATAAAAGATGTGCTGGTCCATTACACAATGTTCTCATGAGTATATGTAAATAATGTTCATATTTCATGTCTTTGTACCATTTGACGTAGTCCCAAGTGCCCACACATGCAAATACACAGACGATTTCACCGAGTTTGAAATAAGATACTGAAGTATTTACACCATTCACATTGTTCGATCTGTTGTCCTCATCTTTATTGGCATGTTCACAATGTTTCGACCGTTGTACGCACCGGCCTTCTTCAAATGATATACATCGGAATTTCGAACACATGAGTTCGTTTCGAAATTCCAGCGCATATCACTTAAAGAAGGTTGGGACGCTCAACAACCGAAACGTCGTGAACATGACAGTAAAAATGAGGACACCAGTCCGAACAATGTGAATAGTGTAAATAGTTACAATACTTCGTCCTGGGTAAGTCCAACAGCAAGGCATCTGATCAGGAGGTCGTGAGGAGAGTGGAACCACCTCTTAATTGCTGGGGTTCCCAGGCCCACCCTGATCCGGGGTGGTAGCACCTGTCAGGGTACCAGTTATGGACAAATAATTAACCCCCAAACTGGGGTAAAAACACTATGAGAGTGTAAAAATAGGTTTTATTACCAGAAATACTTTGTAAAAAATTATTACCAGCAATACATTTTTGAAAAACAAATATTACTAGAAATATATTTTTGGATTAAAAAACATGACCAGGTATACATTTTCTGAAAAAAAATATTAGCAGCTATACATTTTTTGAAAAAAAAAAAAAAATGTTACCAGCAATACATATTTGAAAGGAAATTATCATTAGAAATATTGAAGAAAAATAATTTACCAGAAATAGATATAAAAAAATAGATTTTTGGAAAGGAAAAAAATTTTTGGATAGAAAAAAATAGATTTTTGGAAGGAAAAATATTACCAGAAATAGATTTTTAAAAAAAAATATTACCAGCAATAAAAATTTTGTCGGCATTAAATAAACCGATTGAGGTTGATATGCCAAACAAACCAAACCAAAAGTTAGAATACTTCATGTCCGAAATATAGACAGATATTGAAGTAATAGATTCTTCACTCAGTCTGAATAACACCTATCTTTCGCTGAATAATAAAATCATGAAGTTTGAGAAAAAAATTAATTTTTATATAATTGAATTATTTAGTAAAATTTTTATTCATTAAAATTTTGTATAAATACATTTTTCACCTGTCATTAAATTAAAACATACATGCGCACACGCAAACACACACACACACTCACGCACACACACACACACATATATATATATATATAACTTGAATGAAATTGAAATTGACATCTGTTTCGAGAGGGCTAATTTTCTTTTCTGTTTGATAACAAACTAAGGGTAACAGGAAAAGAGTATAAAACCGGGATGGGCGGCCGTTTGAAGTCATTTTTTATGACTCCTTCTAGATTTAAACTGAATATATTTTCTGTTGAATGCTGTATTTTAAATAGACAAACAGTTTAGATTTGAAATTGGATCATCTTGCTGTCAGCAAAGCGACGCGTATCAAGCTAATATATATTAAATAAATATCGCTTCTTTTGCACAAGAGACTATATTATACATGGGAGATGTGTTTTTTAATGTTCTACGAGAACATTTTTTTAGATACACAATCGTACACTTTATTGCTCTGAAAGGAGGTTAGGTATTCATTCGTGTACGATTCAGTGTGTGTAAATGTGCAGGCGTATACATGCATACCGTGTGTGTGTGTGTGTGTCTTAGAGAATAATAAATATTATTTTGATGAGATAACTGTGTGTGTTGTGAATGTGTATGCATAGGCACTTGCAGGGTCACACATTCAATCATAGGTTTATGTAGACCAGCAATGTTCATAGACAGATAGATAAATCAATAGACTGAGATAGATAGATAGATAGATAAATCAATAGACTGAGATAGATAGATAGATAGATAGATAGATAGATAGATAGATGAACAAACAGAGATAAATAGATAGATGGATAGAAAGATAGATGAACAGAAGGAGATTGACAGATATATGAACAGACGGCGATAAATAGATATATGAACAAACTGAGATAGATAGATAGATGGAACAGACTGATCTATCTATCTATATATCTATCTATCTATCTATCTATCTATATATATATATATATATATATATAGAGAGAGAGAGAGAGAGATAGATATAGATAGAGTGAGATATGGAATAGACAGACAGATAGATGGAGAGAGAGAGAGAGAGAGAGAGACTAAGATATGGAATAGATAGATAAATAGATAGATAGATACGCGAAGCTATACAAAAAATTAAGGAATTTAAACAGTTCGCCAACCGAAATATTGTGCAAACTCTTGCCGCTACCCCTTGTGAGCAGCAGCATTCAAGAAATTGTTCTCTATATGTTCAAATGCATAACCTCAAAGTAGGCAATGGAAATTAGATGCGAAGTTAAGTAATAATTTATCTATTGTCCTTTTCTTGGGTAGTATATGGCTGATTTAAAGTTAAATTTGGAATAAAGCAATAGTTGTGATCAACTTGCCTAACCTCGCTAATCATTACCCCAAGCATAGATAAATAGATAGATGCGAACAGACTTACATCGATAGATAGATATGAACAGACTTAGATAATAAGTAGTGTTAAGGAGTCCACCCCTTTTTATACAAGTGGACTCGCCTAGTGTGTACGTGTACTGCTGCCGGTGAATACCCGGAAGTGATACAGCGTGAGAGGGTGAGAGTGTGAGGTAACCGCTCTGTAGGAGTCACAGTTGCGAGCACGTAGACTCAGAAGGAAGTCCTACTTCGATACTGAATTTCCCAGACTGTATATATATTATTATTGCTACTGACCGCATTTCTGGATCTACTAACCGTATTACCAATTGTATTATTACGTCAACACATTTATTTGCTATATTTCATTCCTACGTTTGTCATTCATTTGAGACCGGATTTCATCCCGGAATCCACAACAGGTAGATATGAACAGATTTAGATAAACAGATAGATAGATAAAGAAGAGACTTAGATAGATAAGAACAGACTTAGATAGATAGATAGATAGATAGATATGAACAGACTGAGATAATAGGTAGATATGAACAGACTGAGATAGATAGATAGGTAGATAAGAACAGGCTTAGATAGATAGATAGATAGATAGATAGATAGATAGATAGATAGATAATCTTAGGCCAATAATAATATGAGTTATAACACTTTGTTATGATCTAAAAACGCTTGGTTCGTTTTTGCTATGAACGCAAAATACTTTTTCAAAACTCAATGTGCGAATTATGATAGCAGTTTCCATCTTTGAACAGCGACAACATCATTTCTGTTTCTTTTCTGAAGTAATTTATTCACATTACAATATTCAATAATCCATATTCTACTGACCTTTGCAGTAAATTCTTAAAAAATAGGAATTTATAGCTTTGCTTTTTAATATAAACACAGTGACTTTATAAATTTATCAATCACACGACTTGATCTTCCCTTCTTAATAATGAAACATTCTGATGTCAGGAGACATTTGAAGAAAATAATACCTAATTTGTAAGTAGGAGAGATCAGGATACTAGTCCATTGCGTTATTTTGTTTGCTTTACTGTGAGTTTTTTTTTCTGATGGGAGTGGATATTGTTTTACTTTTAATGATTCATAAAAACTATTTATTATAAATTCATGTTGCTATAGGGGTTAGGGTTGAAGCTCCCGCCTTCTGCAGGAAGCAGAATATTAAATTTGTATTCTTTCCCTCAAACTATGACAATGCTACCGAGCTGAGTGGTCGCATTTGTCTAAAATCATTGCTGCGATTGGATTTGGGAAATAAATCCGAAAACTTCTTTTTCAATAAATGAGCAGTACTAAATAGGAACATGACGTGATATCCCTAGATTTGAACAGCGGGACGAGAACAATTTACCACTGTAGTTTAAATAAAAGGTTCAGTGCACACTGATAATGGCGACTGTAAGGCAATAGAATATGATGTACTCATATTTACACCCGTTCACGCATGCGCATAGCATTCATACCAATAACCAATCAGTAGGTAGACAGCATAACAGATATTAATTTCCTTGCTCTCTTCGTTTGCCAGATAAGAAAGCGCATGTAGCGCTTTCTTATCTGTTTACTTCGGGTTAGCATTTGTGTTATTGCCTGCATTAGCTAATGTACAGACACGCACACTCACACATATATATTACTTTAAACTTAATTATTCAGCGTTTCTTATTTCTTATTATCTTAAACGTTATATTAAAATATTCCCTTTTTTTATTCTTATTTTAATTCTTTTAAAGGGGGTGAATTATGCATCGAGAATGTTAATAATGCAATTCGCGCATTTATTCAAACATGTATCTACTAAAATATAACGTTTAAATAATGCCGGATTAAGAATAATTCCTAGAAATTATGCACACACACACACACACACACACACACACACACACACACACACACACACACACATATATATATATATATATATATATATATATATATATATATATATATATATATATGTATGTATGTGTGTAAAATTGATGCAATAATATCAAAACCCGCTACTCTGAGTTTCATTGACAATCATTGAATACTCGGTTTATTATATATTTTAAGCTTTTAGCTTATTTTAAAATTTAGCTTTTATTATTACTCTCTCTCTTTCTCTCTATCTCTCTTCCTATATATATATATATATATATATATATATATATACGTACCATAATTGGGCACCAAACCTGGTGTCAAATATGTTGTTTGATGCTGAATGGAAACTTCTAAAGTATGATAACTTGCCAAAATTGGGAGTAATGTTCCGAGTACTTTGTCCTTCGTTGCTTCTTTTCAAGTAAAGAAAATAAAAGAGAGACAAAGAGAAAGAGAGAGAGAGAGAGAGAGAGGGAAGGAGGAGAGAGAGAGAGAGAGAGAGAGAGAGCTCCAGTGAAGCGTTTATATTATTAATAATCAGTTCGAAAGGAAAGTGGGTTGAGATGTTATGGCGTAAAATAGATTTAGCCATTCCGATTCAAAGGCATTTTAACGCGCACACAGACATCTCTCTCTCTCTCTCCCTATATATATATATATATATATATATATATGGACAAAGAGGAAAAGTATTCGTGTGACGCGTTTCGTCCTTTAGGATCTCATCAGACGAGACGCATCACACGAAAATGTTTCTTACTTTGCCATACATTTTTTTTCTTTCAATATTGTTCTTGATATGTGAAAAATTATATGTCGTTATCCCATATATATATATATATATATATATATATATATATATATATATATATATAGTAATCGTGACCGAGGTTTTGAAGGAACTGACATTGTTCAAACTGTTGGCTACGCCAGATGCCTGAGCAGGCGTCTGCAACAAAACAGTGATTGTGTAGCCGCCCTTGCAGACTGGCATGCTCGGTTACGAACGGCCAGCCTTCATATATATATATATATATATATATATATATATATATATATATATATATATATATATATATGTGTGTGTATCAGTATGTGTTTGTAAAAATGTCTGAGTATATCTGTAAAAGACAATATGAATAAAGACAAAAGGAAAACTTATCTTAGCCGGCGCTTTAACCTTGAATATTTACCTCAGAGGACGCGTTGGTTAAGATAAGTTTTCCTTTTGTTTTTATTAAGAAATATATATATTAGAAAATGGATTGTCCCACATATTTTCATTTTTAATTTTATATAATGTGTGTATTTTCCTTTCTTTTTTATTAATATATATATATATATATATATATATATATATATATATATATATATATATCTGCGTGTGTGTGTTTGTGTGTGTGAGAAAATGGCAGAGAAAGAGATACACTATGATGTATTTTGTCTGTAATTCTCATTTCTTTTTCATGAACTTATTTAAAATCTCCCAGCTAAAATCATTTCCCTGATTATTCTGATTCATCCCAATGCTTCAGGGCATTAATCTGTCGTCCTGAGATCTTTTCCCATTGAAGCAAACCCTAGGGTCTTTCGTCATAAAATACCATCGAATGTTATTGAAGACGCATCAGTCTGATAACGTTTTTCTGTGTGCGCTTACTTGTTTATTTAAGACGATAGAAAATACGATATATTGCGAGATCCTTTAAAACTGGTATTAAAATTCTTTTTTTTAGTCATTTAGACATTACTCTGTACTGTATTCATGTACAGTCACCCAGATTCGTCTTCAACTGGGGAGTGGCCTTTAAGACAGCGCGGCGCGCGAGTAAAAGATTATTTACCTGCACGCCCACACAGACTACAGTAGGGAGACTATTTTGAAAAAAAAAAACCCCAAAAAAACCGTGCTACCGAATTTATAAAATAGTATCCGTTTTCGATACTTCCCATTTTGGGGTCGCCTTAAAAATAATGACATAATCAAGATGCTGACTTTTCACACTTCTTCAAGGTTAGGAAAGAAACTCCCAAAAAGAACGATAACAGCTACTGGACTTTCCTGATAAATTGTTTTAAGAGAAATATTTTATAAACTTCAGGCAAAAGCAGTACTGGGTGCTCGTTCAATGAATGCCAAATGTTTCCCTATAATATGACCATTACAGTAACCATTAGTCGCCGAAGGAGAAGTCTTGATTGCGGAGATGGGCTCTCTGCGACTGTTTACCATCAGAGTCTGTGGTAAAAGCAAAGATTAAAAATGTTGATTTTCAAGGTAGATCCACACATCATTTTTGAAAAGATTGCTACAGCACTACTTACTAAACCGCATAAGAAGTTAGTTACAATGCATTTTACTGGTCAAAATTCCATGGTGCTAATGCATTTGTATAAAGTCTAAAAATCAGTTTCATGTGACAGTGAATGGTTCCCAGACTGAAAAAATATCATAAATAATTTAAAAATAAATCTTCGTACAAGACCGAAAGTATGGGACACCCAGTGAGGACCGAACTCACTACTCAGTGGTAACTGACCCAGCAAGACAAGCTTGCTAACCATTACATCACGTCGAAGTACCCAATGATTTGGGTAGCTTAGATGTGGCACCCAATGAAGATCGAACTCATTACTCAGTCGTGGTTGTTTTAAGCGAGACAAGCTTGTTAACCATTGCATCACATCGAAGTATTCAATAATTTTCTCAGCGTAGATTAGATGTGGCACCTAGTGAGGATTGAACTCACTACTAAGTCGCACATATGCTAGGCCACAAAAATCTCCTGAGCCGACCAAGCATAGAAATAAATACAATATGGGAACCGATAATAAGGAGTGTCAGAGAAAAGCAATGATAACAAAGTTGCAATATGAACTCTGGTAATGACATGTAATGATAACAGCAAAAATTGCAATATGAGCACTGGTGAAAATGATGCTGAAAATATTAGGTTTATAATACTCAGAAGTTCATACCCTCAAGGACACATGGCACAGTGGATAAAGGCGTTGGTTAGATTCAGTGACAGACCCAAAGAAGGTGAGTTCAATTCCTGGTTAAGGCAGTGGAGAACTTTCAGAGGGAAAATTAGCAGGTGATAACTGATAACTGACATCCATCAAACGTGGAACTAGAACAGTCTACCCCAGTGAGCGAAATAAAGGGTTCAGTTCGAAATTCCAACCACCTGAAGAAGGCCGGAGCGTACAACGGCCGAAATGTTGTGACAAATATGGCGACAAAGATGAGGACAATAGTCCGACTAATATAAATACTGTACTAAGTCGTAATTGTTCTAGCGAGACAAGCTTGCTGAACCACATCGAAGTACCCAGTAATTTTTTGAGCGTAGCTTAGATATGGCACCCAGTGAGGATCGGACTCGCTACTCAGTCGTAATTGTTTTAAGCGAGGCAAGCTTGCTCACCATTACACATGAAGTGACCTATTTTATTTTTTATGTATTATGGCACATTTTCTTTTTTACGATTTAAAATAGAACAGTTTTTTTTTTAGCAATGTTTACACTATTTACCTTATAACTATCCTCCTCATCTTTGTTTCTATTATTACAACATTTCGATCGTTGTACCAGCCTTCATCAGGTGTATATCGATCCGGGTAACATACCGGGAATGTGAACGAAAGAAAGTGAAAATAATATCAAGCATTGGAAATATGTTCCAAAATAAATTTAGCACACTAAATTAGTTCACATCCTTTTGTGAGGTGGCGGTGTTGAGGCCAAGTGATTTTGGGGATTGACCTGCACCGGTATATCTTTGTTGTCGATGGGCCTGCTGCTAACGGGACTATTGGTTTGAGTTGTACTGGCTGGTACTGGTTTAAAGAAAGTGCTTTTACACAGAAGCATAGATTAACTTAAAATTTATACAGTTGTTTGTAACTACGTAATGTTTGAAGTGGTCGTATATTCTCTCAAATGACGCCTGTGGTCGGTGTTCAAGACTAAGTTAAAACCAGACGTAATACAACCTTTCTAAATCCGAGCCACATTTGAGTGCAGCTAAGACATGCATTACCTACATGAAATACATATCTGTGTTCTATTTGCGGTTATTTTGCCTGTTTGTCTTCAGTGTATGTGGTTAAAAAAAGTCCCAGGTAAAAGCAAAGATTCAAATGCTGATTTTCAAGGTGGGCACACACCCCTTTTAAAAAATTGCTGCAGTAATAATTTTTAATTATTTTTATTTTCATGAAAAGCCAATACATTCGTATACTTGTTAAATCTGAAATCTCCGCAAAGCATACATTGCAAAGCAGAGAAACCAAATTAATTTATGATGACAATGTTAATGACATTTATGATATATAGAATAAAAATTAATATTTTTTCCTTAATTTACAAAGGTTTCATAATTATATATATATATATATATATATATATATATGTATGTATATATGACTAAGGTATATTTAGGCAGCAAGTATTTATCCAAACAGGTTTGATGAAAAACAACCGACAATGTTTGCCTGTTTAATTTTTTTTATTTTATTTCTCCAGTTATCGGATAATGTGTTGAGTATTGTGCTCAAAGTTAAGGATAAACTGTCCAAAGTTCATATTTTGTTATTTTAGTTCAAGTACTTTCGACTTTCGTAGTCATTATCAAGAACTGATACCGTATATATACATGCAGACACACACACACACACACACACACACACACACACACACACACACACACACATATATATATATATATATGTATGTATGTATGTATAAATAAAAAGAAAGAACAGTAAGATATATAATCCGGTGTTCTTACTGATATTTTTTATTTTTATTTTTACAAAACAGTGCTACATGTAAATTTACAGACCATAAATAATATAAATTAACTGATTTAAAAGTATATTTTTTTCTCTACACTGATAACTATGTTTCAAAAATGGAAGCTAAAAATTTTAAATTTAATTATAGAATTAAATTAAAAGCATTAGTTCCGTTTCATCTTCAAGCGAATATTGGAATAACTTATTTTAAAATTTACTGTGTTTTAAACGCATAAATAAATTCATAATTTACTGTTTCCAAGGATACAGAGAAAATCAAATCATTCAGACAGGGACGATAGCGTGATCAATTTTTTAACTATTGTTGTATCAATTATGAGTTACGTTTGAAAAAGAGGTATATATATATATATATATATATATATATATATATATATATATATATATATATATATATATATATATATATATATACTATCGATCAAAAGTTTGAGACCACACTGAATTATTCCTCTAAGTTCATAAAAGGTTAATTTTGCATATTTTCATAAATAAATTCACCTATTGTGCATATATGCAAATCCTTATATAGAATTCTAAAAGATTTTCTACAAGCATTATATATTTATTTGCATAAGCTTTAGAAATTTTGTTAAAATCTGATACCCTTTCTGAACAGTAGAGCAGAAATTTATAAATATTTTAACTCGATTGCTTGGTAGAGGTTCAAGTCCATTAAGTTTCAGAAACCATTAAAATGCCAAGAACTAAATAGATTAGTATAACCCCCCCCACCACCACCACCAAAAAAAAAAAACAAGTGGAAATTCGTTCTGTTATATACCGTACTTCTGAACACTAATTGGTATGTCCCAATCCACATAAATACCTTGGACACTATTGTAAGTGGGGGTAATAGTCCACCACTAGCAGTGGTTTACCTACTTCACGCCGCTGGCGAGTATTGTATTTTGTTGATGTGATAAAGATTACCGTTTCATTTCTAACCTTGGTTTTGGTTATTCCTCTTTCAGTAACCCTTTCTAGGTTACAACGCTTTCTATAGAAGTTTTACTAAAATATTTATCTGGAAACGAACAATATGAATAAAAACAAAATGAAGTCATATCTTAGCCGACGCGTTTCGTCATCAGATGGACTTTATCAAGACAAATACTTATAAACAAAAGTAAAAATGTAAGTTTTTCAAAATTTTTAAGTTTAACAAACGTCCATAAATGTTCATCATTTTTAGTTTTGTTTATAAATACTTATTGCTAAATAAAATCCTTACATTTGCCTTGATCACAGGGCACATATGTTTTGTCAAATTCTACCGAGAAGAAACGCTTTTATTGTATTTAGCCAATGAAAAACAAACAACACAAAGAAAAATACGAGATTTTTCTTTTTCTCCTTCATATTTTTCTCTCCCATATTTGATTTTCTGATGAAGCGTTAATAAACGCAATACTTATAAACGTTTTCTATTTGTTCTTTATCTTGTCACACACACACACACACACACACACATATATATAAATATATATATATATAGATAGATAGATAGATAGATAGATAGATAGATAGATAGATAAAATTCATTACCCCATATGATATATGGCCATTTCGCTCCGAACGGGCTTTTCAACACCAAGGAGCTAGATAAAAAAAATGAATCAACTCATTTTTTTTATCTAACTCCTTGGTATTGAAAAGCACGTTCAGGGCGAAATGGCCATATATCATATGGGGTTATTGAATTTTATCTACATATAATTCATATATGCTCTATAATAAATATATTGAGCTCTCTTCTGTGGATCAGTTTTACTATTTTAATATTTTATATTACTAGGATTCACTTGGATTAACTTAACACGGATTTTTACTTCCTTCCTAATTCTCGGCTGTTTGGAACAAAGACAACATTACAACAAAAACGTGTTCTTATTCTCAGACCTACCCACAGTGTCGCCATCTTTTTAGTGTAACGTTAACGGTACTCTTTCCAACGCTTATATATAAACATTTTACTTTTCACAAATCTATCTAGTGGAAATTAAAACAAAAAAAGAAATCATTTAATTTCAATAACTAACGCTTGATTCTCAAACCCTTAAACTGTCATTAAAACTATCATCTCCATCCTTAACAACACCATATACATGTTTTAACCAAGGAGAACAGAAGGTCTTTTGTTAAAACGGGCATGCGCAGTGTTACTGTCTTGCCAATATTCGCCAGCCACAATTCAATGATGTGTGTTTGTAGTGTTCTTGACATTGCTAGTGCCTGATAACACTGGCTTCAGCGGCGCTAGACTGAAATAGATAGACTGGACGAGGCAAATAAGGAGATTTATCAAATTTTGGGCGAAGTATCTTTCGTTTCTTATTCTTTTCATGAGCAAAAGCTTTGAAATTTTGTTTATCATGTTTTTTTCTACCCCACTTTATCGGAATTTCCAATCACTGGAGCTTTGGATGTATGTTAAGAATTGCATCTGTCATCTTGTTTACGTCAAGTTAACTTAAAGCGGCAGACATTCATGTGTACGAGTGCAGAAGGACCGAAAAACACAGACGTAAATTCATGTGTATAAGCAATTCGTGAAACTTGTTTAAACGTATATGTATATACATTTTCTTAACACAGTTTAATATAATTCGGAACTCGTAAACTGCGAGTTAAAAGTAATAAGTTTCAATGAAATAAATGAACAGAGATGGACCAATTCGTTTTCTGACCATGAGACCATTGTCGATTTGCCAGGATGGTGAATTCTTGATGTCGTAGGTCTGCCTGAAAACTATGCAACGGGTTGAAATTGGGTAGACATAACTGTTCGAAATTCGATTTACAAGGACGCTGTAGTTATGAAAAGAGAAAATAACTTAAACGAAAAGATCTTGAGCGGCCTATTATCAATCCTTATCAAAATATTAACTTACTCTTTGTTTTGTTTTTTTCAAATATCTCCTTTCTTAAAAGAAATACTTCTTTCCAAAATGGCCATCAAAAATTTAAAAAACTTTAAAGAAAACGGTTAACTCATGACCTTTAATTATTTAAAATAAATAAATTAATTAATGCATAAATAATTAAATAAAATAATATATAATAATTAAACATTAAAAAAAAAAAAATTGGAAATCAATTTATTTATTAAAGACATTTTTATGTTTAACGTTCTTTTTTATATAAAAATGTCTTTAATAAATAAATTGTCGGACTTTGTCCATTTCTTAATATATGACATCATTTGTTTACATTTGATACGCCAGAGCAGTTATGAATGTACGAGATTCATGGAAGAAGTTTATAAGCAGTAAATTCGAACGCTCCTTTGTGGCCGAGGCGGTAAGGCACGTCAGCGTAAATGACGGTTCTGTATAGGATGCAGGTTCGAATCCTGTCAAAGGACGAATATTTTCTATGAAAATTTCTCGGACATTCAGGCCGGTAAATGTTATTTAATACTGTTTATAATAAACAGAGCATTTACTTAAATACTTGTATCTATGAAAAAGAACATTAAACAAAAATGTCTTTAATAAATAAATTGTCGGACTTTGTCCATTTCTTAATATATATATATATATATATATTTGTGTGTGAAGATGTGAGGCAAAGAGGAAAATTTATTAACGACGCATTTCGCTCGCCGAGAGCGTCTACTTTCTTTGATTTCCTCAAGTTAGAATGAAAGAAAAACAAAAATGTATGTGAAGAAAAATGCCCTGGGAGTTTTGAGGATAAGTGTTAACCATAAATCAAATTAAATTAGATTATCTTATCACTGCCAATGTCCAGACTCAAGAGACTGTCTGTCCGCCTGTTTGTTTGTTTTATCCATACCTATATTAGCACCGTTTGGTGTTGTTGTATACTTATATATATATATATATATATATATATATATATATATATATATATTTCCAACTTTCATCAAAACAACTTGACATAAAATAAACATTCCTAGTTTCATCAAAGCAGACATTTCTTGATAATGAAAAAGAAATCTTAGATTACACTTCCATTGCGAACCTATGAGTAAAACATTTCCTCGGTTAGTTATTGCAAACATCGCTTGAGAATGGAACTGTCCTCTGAAGTTAAAATTGAAATTAAATTTTGGTATTTCAGTTTCAGTTTCGAAACATAGTCATTTCTGTGTCGTGATTGAATCGTATTTAAAAAAAAATAATTTCAAGCTCTACTTCTGTATCAGGTACTGTGGATCATTAATCTAACAGTTTTTTTCCTATTACATCAATGCACACAAACATCCACACACACACATATATATATGTATATGTGAAGAAATAGTTGTATGTATATGTGTGTACGAGTATACACACACACATACACACATATATATATACATACGCATATACACATTAAAGAGCATTTTTGTTTTTGTCTTTTCTATACTTGTATATATAATTTTATATACTTGTACACACATATACATACGTACAACTATTTCTTATATATATATATATATATATATATATATATATATATATATGTACGCAAATATTCGTGTATATGTGCCCTTCATATGATATATTTTTGCACACACGCATACATGCATACATATATACACATATAATATATATTAGAGGCAATTTTCAAAGATTATTTTGTGTGGGCCCATGTTTTTCTCCTGATATTATGAATCGCATTGTGTCTCTCTCTCCCACTCGTTCTCTCTCTCTCTCTCTCTCTATCTATCTATCTATCTATCTATCTATATATATATATATATATATATATGAACAAGCCTGGCATTCTAATGCAACCCATAAAATCAGGAAAAAACAGCTCACCCCACAAAATAATTAAAAAATGCCTATAATATATATATATATACGTGTGTGTGTGTGTGTGTGTACGTATGTATGTGTGTGAATGCAAGGGTATATAGGTATGACGCACGCACACACATATGCATATGTATATATATATATATATGGACGTACGAATAAATATATTTCTTCCTCGGGTGTTATAAATACAGTGCTCAATGTTATGTAATAGATCTATAAGTATATATTAATGAATAGACATAAAATGAAACAATATAAATTGTTCAAGATCTAAATATTTTTTATTAAGTTAGTCCTAAGCTTTCGGATCACATGAGCCATCCTCAGAGTGCTTATAGAGACAAGAAACAGAGATATTCCCCGTCAAAGATGATATTTTTTTATTTTGACATAGAAGATTATGTGACGATAACGGTCGCGGAATAGCAGACGCAGATCGTAAGTTCAAGATGCGGTGCTATGACCAACTTGATAAAAAATCCAAATTTTGGACAATTTTTGTCTTTATTTTCACCAGAAATTAAAGCAAACATTCGAACATTAGAACGACTCATGATCAGACACAACATACATTCATTGTCTGTTATATTTAACAATATATGTTTAAATAATGCTCTGCTGCCCCAGTATATATACACTCAGCACCTGAAGATTGCGTTTGGCATGAAACTCCGTGTAGCGCTAATGGTGTGATATGTATATTCATTAATATACATAATTTATAGCTTGGCGTTTTGGTGTCTTGTTGGAAAAGATGGCGTCATTGGTCTTTACTTTTTTCAAGACCACAATGGAAATGTTGTTACTCTGAACTCCGAACGTTACATTGAATGATAAACAACTTCTTTGTGTCTGAATTACCATGAAAACGTATTCCTGTCCGACGCGTGTGGTTTTAGCAGCATGGGGCAACGGCCCACCCAGCCAGGTCCTCTCTTCGGTGACCCCGTCATTTCCAGGTTTGCTGGTACTCCTTGCCCACCTCGGTCACCTGATTTGTCCATGTATGATTATTTCTTGTGGGGAAACCTTAAGGCACGTGTTTGTGAACATAAGCCTTGTACATTGGACGATTTGAAGGAAGACATTCGCGTGGAAGTCGTCCAAATCGACAGAGCAATGCTGGAAAGCGTGGAGGCCAACTTCTAAGAACGTCTTCAGAAATTCATCAATGAAAACGGACACCACATGAAGGGTGTTGCTTTCCGCAACTGATTTTGGCAAATGCTAATTCAATATGAACACATTGATATCAATAAAAAATTTTGAAGCTAAAATTAATGATGACGTGAATTTTTTAAAAACGTCCATCCTCTCTGCCTCCAACTTTAGAAAGAAAGAAAGAAATTAAGATAGATAGATAGATAGATAGATAGATAGATAGATAGATAGACAGATAAAAATAAAAAATATAGATAAATACATAGAAATAATATAAAGAAGATAGATATATAGATAGATAGATAGATAGATAGAAAGAAAGAAAGAAAAAGAAATATAGATAAATGCATAGAAATAATATAAAGAATATAGATAGATAGATAGATAGATAGACAGACGCTTATCAGTCTGAATTGATTCATGGGCCGACTGAAGCAATCCGTACAGGTTTATTTATATTAAAACCTGAAACAAGACTTAAGCTCCAATATTCTTTTGTCAGTCTTTTTAAAGTGCTCATATCTAAGAAAAGACGTTATTGAAAAAAAAAATCCTCATCGTTGCCATAGCAATGGTCAATCTATCTTTGAACTTTCACTTTATGCCACA